ACCCGGCCCCTGGCTCAAAAAGGTTGCCTACCCCTGCACTACACCATGATGGCTCTCTGTGTGTGGTATATAAAGGCCCCAATTCAGTGTCATTCTAGCCCCCATCTACTAATGCAATAGCATTTTCTTCCTCTTCCACCAGTCTTCTGCATTTTCCACCAAAAAATAACTGCTACAGAGTGTTCTCCAGTCCTACGAATTACATTCTGTTTTTTCAAGGGAGTCTTGTGCCAGCATGGTGTGATGGTTTGAGAGCTGGACTGGGACATTGGGAGGTCTGGGTTCGAATCCTGGTTTGGCCATGGCAACCCACTGGGTGACCTTGGGCAAGTCACACTCTTTCAGCCTCAGAGCATGGCAATGACAAACTCCCTCTGAAGAGACTTGTCAAGAAAGCCTGCTAATATTAATCAGCTCATGAAAAAGCTCATATACTCAGATGGGAAAATTTATACACAATTATACAGTTGGCCCTTCAGACCCATGGGGACCATTTCTAGACCCCCACCTCCCACGGATAAGAAAAAATGTGGGACTTCAAGTCCCATTGTCTCCACTGGTGGCACAAGTGCACATACTGCCATTGAGAACATTCTGACATTGCACTCTGGTGACACTATGGAAGATGGGATGAGGCTCCTCTTTGCCACCGCTGGGCTCCGGGGTAAGGCCCATGGTGGAGGCTTCCACTGTTTCACTGTTTTCTCCTCCTCCAGCCCTCCTCCTTTGCTGGTGTGGCAGGTCCTGGACCAGGCTTGGTCAGAACAGGCAGGCTGACCACCAGCTGCCACTTGGCCTTGTCAAAGGTGGCTCAGGTGCCGCCCTCATCCACTGGATAGGGCAGAAGGAGGACCTCTAACTGGGCCAGGGAAGCAAAGCAGAGCAGCAGCAGCTGAACGGTGACCACTAGCTCACAGGGCACCAGGCTAGGCACCAAGTCCCAGCTTTGTCAGTAGTCCTAGAGGTCTGCATAGGAGCGATGTGGGATGCCCATGGCAGGAGGCAGTGAAGGGGAGGAGGGCAGCCTGGTGTGGCATTCCAGCTCTGGGGGCAGGCTTTACCATGAGAACAATGTGGCTTCCTGTCTATGGATGCTCAAATTCACAGAGGGCAAGCCTGCATATGGGGAGGGCTCACTGTAAAATATGTATTAGGTTAATGCCAGTCAATCTCACCTGGGATATATTGAAATATTAGTCGATTATTGTTTGTTATTGTGTGCCTTCAAGTAATTTCTCACTTATGGCCACCCTAAGGCCATGGGGTTTTCGTGACAAGATTTGTTCAAAGGAGGTTTGCCATCGCCTTCCTCTGAGACTGAGAGAGTGTGACTTGCCCAAGTTTACCCAGTGGGTTTCCATGGCAGAGCAAGGATTTTAACCCTGGTCTCCAGATTCATAGTCTAATACTCAAACCACTACAGCACACAAGCTCAATTTATACTATTAAATAAACTGCTGTTATTTTGGTGTAATTTTTTAGTTTCAGATTTGTTTGATTTCTTGAATGAAATGCTTAAAATATATATATAGAAGGAACCATGTAAATAGACTTTCTTAAAGTAGCAACTTTGACCAAGGTCCCTAGAGACTAGCCAAATACCACTTGTTTGCACAGTGAAATGTATTATTTGGAAACCAGAACATTATTCAAAGACACATTGTTAATCTTAAATATTGCCTGCAGATTGAAACTACCATTAAAACCACCTTAGGCCACCTTAAATCCTACTGTAACAGGCAAACGCTAACTTTATTTCAATTATTCATACATAGTAATAATTGCTAGGAAAGGCCTAGTTATTTCTGATGGAAAGGAAAGATGGAATTGGCAGTTTGTGGCAGTTTATGGAACATCAACACAAGGGTCCTGCAATTTTGGAGATGCTTGCAAAAGAAGCTGATTCTTTTATTGCAGACAAAAGCAGCTGAATTGTTAGTATCAGCACTTCCAAGCATCATTCTTTTAAATGTAAACATCCATAAAGCTGTCAGCATCATACAACGAATGGCTAAATAATACATTGGATCAGCAAGCAAGCACTGCATTTCCTCTTGCACAGCCATGGTTTTGAGTTGCGCTATCTCTGTGTCAAGGAAATCAATAGGCTCTGATTGTGTTTCCAGATTCTACTTATGAATTTCCTGCTTAATATAAATAGGGATTGAGCTTGGCAAGCAAAAGAACAATGGTTAAACACAAAAACATCTTAAATGAACAAATAAAGCAGAAAAACAAAACAGAAAAAATACACTATAAGAATACATTCTGTAGTCACATAATATAGCTGTAAGTTATGCAAACAATTAAACCACTATATGCAAACTTTTATTTTCGTGGTGGGAATATTCGGTCTATCTTTTCAGTTTGGATACTATTCACTCCCTTTATTCACTGCAGTGTTGGAAAGTCATGTCTGTTTCTTAAAAATGAAACAAAGCAATGTTCACTACATCCCAATTCTCTTCCTTCTCCTGCTACTCCTTGTCGGGGGCATGCATGTCCGGGATATTACAAAAATGGTTGCTCATAATCATATGGGTGCATGGTCCTTCAAGTCACCTGCATCTGGTATTCACTGGCAGTCTGCCATCCAAGTACTAACTAGGGCTGCCCTTGCTTAGCTTCCAAGATCAGAAGGGCTCTATATGTTAACAATATGCATAGAGAAGGGGTGAGCAACTTCCTTGTAGTGGGATGGAGCATAGTGGGCTCCCTCAATCCACCACTGTCGGCACAGTGCTGCTGCTATTTTGGTGTCATATTTTGGCAGTGAAGTGTAAAAAGCTGGCCGAATCATCTATGTATTCATGGAAAGAGAAGTGGTGAGAGTGTGGAGGGTGGTGAGAGAGAGGGAACTGGTTTGAAACTAGAAGGTGTTTTTGAATGGGAATACCAAATGTCCTAAACTACCAGTTTCAGCTTTAAAACATGAGCAAGTTCAGCAAGAGTCAAATACACAGCCCAGTCCTTAAACTTGGAAAGAAAACACCAAGGTAAGCCTGAAGGTTTTTTTAAAAGTTCCTTTGAAAAAAAAGAAAATAAAGGAAAGGAAAAAGAGGAATAACCACATTTTACAGTCAAACCTGTCACTCTGGGCATCAGTAATTTAACTATCATTAATCAAACAGTTTTGCCATATACTCAAGGAACCCCTAGAATCAGAACTGTGGCACATATTTCTCAAGTCAAATGGATTCTAGGTTATATTGCATTAATGGCTAATGTGTAAACCAAAAAGAACAACTGAAGCATGACGCAAATACAAAAGGTCTTTTGTTATTAGACTAAACAAGTGGTTAGACAGATAACACAAAATAATATTTTTTTAAAAAGATTATTAGTTTTAATCACCTTGAGCACAGAAAAAAGAACTGCCTAGCCCTATGGTCCTGCAGATTATACACACAAAAGCTTAGGAAAGTCATAATGATAACACACTCAAGAGGCCTGGCTTCCTACATGAAGATAAAAGAGCTAATTTATCACCTGAAACAAGGAAGGATGGTTAATTCAACTCCTCATACCTTTGAAAGAGCTGTTATCTGCTCTAGTGCCAGAAAGTGAAGATCTTGATCTCTGCTTTCCACAAGCAGTTTCAGGGACGGCAACTTCAGGGACTGGTTAAGCAACAGCAAACACAGGTCTTTTATGCACTGAAAATAAAAGGTAAAGCTTGTGTAGTCAGACTGCAGAGGGGGAGTGGTGCAACTCATGCTTGGGTTCAGGATAATCAAATGTGAGATGAAAGTCACACCTTTCTGCAGCAAACAAAACCTTCAGCCTACTTGAAAAGTTGAAAGGAAGGACTGAGTAAAAGGGATGTCTTTCCGCATAGCAGATAAAGTCACCTGAAAATTCCTATTATGTGAGCAGTACAAAGAAAGATGAAACCACTTATGCTTTGAGAAGGCCCTTTCCCTCAGTGCACACCAAGGGAGAAGACTAGCAGCTATTAGTCTCACAGCATTGTAAGCATGGTTTGATTTTTTCTTTCTTTTCTTTTTTGACCATACATGTGGATGCTTCATGCAAGTGACTCAAAGATCTGGTATATATTAAGGCCATCAAATGGCATTCTCTCATTGCTACCACCAACTCCTCCTTCTCTTCCTCTTGATAAGAAACAAACCAGCTGGCCTAAAATGAGAGCAGATTGTACTATTGCCATCTGAGGCCCTTACTTTCCCTCTCATAGTCACTATCCCCAGAAAATGAGGACGGTAGTCTATAGATGAGTATATGACAGGGAAACAGTCTGTGTCAAGCAATTGTTAATATGGCATTTTGCTTTCAAACTGGAGGGTGAAGGATGAAGAGGTTGCAACATAAAAAGATAAAAGTGTTCCCCCATTGTCAAGGTTGTTATGTCTGACCATAGGGGGCAGTGCTCATCTCCGTTATTAAGCCAAAGAACCAGCATTGTCAAAGATTAGTCTGTGATCCTGTGGCCAGCAATATTGCACAGAGTTTAACTTCCCACCAAAGTGATACCTATTTATCTACTTGCATTTGCATGCTTTTGAACTGCTAGGTTGGCAAAAGCTGGGACTAGTGACAGGAGCTCACCCCATCATACAGCACCTGGGCCTTGAACAGCAAAAGTATGTTGCAACATACATCAATGATATGTTGCCAGATATCTGTTGTTCTGTACCTTCAAATAGTACTGATTTATGGTGATCCTAAGTTGAACCTATTATGGGGTTTTCTGTGGCTGAGAGAATGGAGATTATCAAATGAGGGATGGGACCTCATTGTCCTGTCCCTGTCCTGTCCTTACCACCTGATCGCAGGAAGGACTTTCACACGTGATTTTTGCACTTCACCTAGCAGGGAAGTGTGAGTGAAAGTGATTGCACAAATCACTTTCACATTGCAGCTGGCTGAAAAGTGTTTAACTCGTTAGTACCATGATGGCTGAAAGCGCTTTTCAGGCGGCTGCAGTGTGAAAGTGATTTGTGCAATTACTTTCACTCAAGTCATGGGCAGGACAAGAACAGGATAGTTGATCCTGTCCCTATCCCATCTTCATTGACAATCTCCAATATGACTCACCTGAAGTCACCTAGTGGGTTTTCTGAGTGAGGAAATCAACCTTTTCTCCAGAGTTGTAGTCCAATGCTCCAACTACTATATTCGCTCTCACTGCCAGATATGCTTTACAAAAAAGCTTGAAACAGATGCATAGTGCTACAAGCCTTTCACTAAGAGATCTGTAACTACAGACAGAAAAGCAGGCATCATCTCAGAAAATACTACAGATCCCCCCGCCCACTATTATTTTTCAGACAGCTAAAATCAAGGAAATGAAATCTCACAGCATGGTTTGATATTATAATGAATATCTCCCAGAAATTACCACTGGAGTCTGCCAGTTAATGGTTGTCCTGCACAGATAAGTACCACTTATCTCCCCTAAAAAGAAGTCTGAACTTAAATAAATCTTGTCAGTATGGGCGTGGCACCTCTTGTAACATTTCTCATTAAACCCTGTGGGGTAATTAAGGCAAAAGGAGATATGATACACATGGAGAAATTAAAGGAAGGGAGTAATCAAGGGATGGAATCCACTGGCTGAAGGTAAATCCATAGTGAGTGTGTGGATGTGTTGTCTCCAGGATATTTTTGTGAAATATTCTTCCAGGCTTTTGAAAAGTTTGGAACTAAAGGGTTC